CGGCAACCAGGGCATGAGCCCTGACATAGAATCATACTGTGACCTCCTAGTTCATAAGTTGACACTCAACCACTGAGCCATGCTGGCTGGGCAATATTCCACATGTTTTAATGACTAAAACAATTATAGTTACTATTAGAATACCAGTAGATTACCAAGTAAAACTAAAAACATTACTTCTAGACCTCTGTTCTGTATGCCCAGGACTGCCTTGTGGTCACCCTGGGGCCTTGTCTGCTCCTTCCTCCACCGGGGTCCATCTCTGGGGTCTCTCAAACACAAACTCCCCCACCTCTGCACTCTGTAACCACATCAGTACCCAGGACACCCCAGCGTTACCTCCTCAAGGTTTGAAGGACAGACCCTAGGGCAAGTTAGGTAATGAGCATGATATTAAAGTGAGCCAAGACAATGGGACTAAACAGGGCCACCCCGTGAGCAGGTCACAGAACAATGTAAGGACTTTAGGTGCTAGAGTTTGGGCCAGACGTTGTGATAGCATTGAGTCAAACTACTTCTCACACGATTATACTGAGAAAATTTGATTAAATTCAAAACCATCACCACCTCTGGGCATTTTAGAGACAGTGACTGATTTCTTGATCTTGAATACTTGCTTTAAATGGAAAGAACCTCTAAGATAGAAACAATGTTCCCATAAAATACACAATATGCAGAGAACACAATAAGGGCTAAACTAACCTTGGTTTTAGCTGACTCATTTGAAAGACCAAGATATATAGACGTAGGTCTGAAAAATAAACATACCATTTATTTCTTTTCAGACACTAAGATAACAGTGTTGGATTTTTTCCCCCCCTTTTTAAATTTACCTCATTTGAGGCCAATTTCCATCTTAGGTGGACACAGAGGCTGAAGAGGCCATCTGAAAGCAAGGTGGTAACTAAGCCCCTAGACTAGCATGGGTGGGGAACGTCTGGCCCTCGGGCCATATAAGGCCCAATAAATCATTTTGTCTGGCCCTGCCAAAGCATTAGGGGTGAGTTAATTAAATGCTTGACCAAATATAGCAGGCTAACTTTAAATTGATAATTTTGTATAGCCGCGAATGATGTTATAAATATCCAAATGGCCCTTGGCAGAGAAAAAGGTGCCCCACCCCTGCCCTAGATCAACCTTTTATTTTATTTTTAGCTTTTGAACAGGATATCAATTAGAGATGAATTTCTAGATCAGTAGGCGACTGCATGATTTTAATCTTCTCTGCTTCAGTGAACTCAACTCATATCAAGAAGCTAATTAAAAGGAATCACACTCTAATAAAAAAAAAACACTAATTGCTGATACACAGCTCAACTGTCAGAAATTAAATAGTGGCTTTGGTATAACTGATCCGATATGTGAGCAAGATTCAGAGACCTTCAGTAGAAAATGGTGATGAACCAACCATAACTGGGTAGAAAGATGTAAGATGGGCTAATGAGCCCTCCCCGGCTGCCTCTCTCCGAGCAGGCCTTCTCTGCGAATTCACAGCCTCTCCTCGCCTTGCAGGGTCTCCAAAGGGCAGCACCAGAGGGCTCTCTTGGGTCCTCTGCAATGTTCTTTTCTCAAACTGTTCTTAGAATTTCCATCCACTTTTCATGCCCTCCATGAAGACCTGTATAAGACGCTCACATACCTTACCTCCACTCCTAACTGCTCTCCCACAAATTTAGGACTGCATTTCCAGAACTTTTTGAACATCTATTATCATCTCAAATTCAATGTATTCAGAGCCAAACTCATCATCATCAACTGATTTCCCTCCCTGACTCCCTCCTTCCCTCCCTCTCTCTCTTCCTTTCCTCCCTCCCTCCCTCCCTCCCTCCCTTTCTTCCTTCTTTTCTCCCTCTCTCCCCTCCATTAATTGGCCCTGAGGTAGGCCTGGAGCACAGATGAGGACAAACCACTTCTGACCTTAAGAGACTCAGAGTCTGTACCCAAATTGGATCCAAGTATCCTACCTACCCTAAAAATACAAAACAAAACAAAACAAAACAAAAACTTATTTTGTGCACAAAGCAACCAAAGCCAAGAAAGATTGAACGGCTTGTTTAAGATCACGTTGTCTATCGGCAAAGCTGGAAGTTAAACCCAGGACAAAGGAGAGAGAGATAGAAACATCAATAATGAGATAGAATCATTGATAGGCTGCCTCCACACCCTACACAGGGGATCGAGCCCACAACCCAGGTATGTGCCCTGACCAGGAATCAAACCGTCACCTCCAAGTTCATGGGTCGACGCTCAACCATTCGGCTGGACCCAATCTTATTTCTTATATTCCCTATGGCTGCTTGCTCCAGAAAAACTGGCCATCGTATTGTTATATAATATGCCATGAAACAAACAGCCTCCTTTTTCTTTGTTTTCACAATTTCTCCAACGAGAAACATTCTCCTTCTTCCTCTCCACTTAATTAAATCTTACCCTTCCTCCAATACAGAGCTCGTATCTCACCTTTCTATAAATCCTTTCCCAACTCTCTCATCCCAAACTACTAGAGCATTTATTTCCTGAGCCAGAAAACCCAAATCTCAACAGTAGAAAATACCCATAGTTCACATTTGGGTCAAGAAGCTAATAAAATGGCAGAATTTTCCCATCAAATACCTTCAAAAGTAATTTACAAGGTAAGATTATAGTACACTCACAAGAACTGCATCTCTATAAATCTGTCAGGATCTTTAAGTAGGGGGCGGGAGGAGATTCAAAATCAATAAATAATTCCCCGATACTGAGATCTGCTTTTTGGACCAGAATAATTTTACGAAGACACTGGCAAAGTTTCATGCCTTCATTTCATTTTGCAAAGATTGTCAGGAACCAGCTTATGCGTACGATCATGAGAGGAAAACCTGCCTAGTGTAAAGACAAATCATTACAGAGGCTATAAACACACTATACTTTATCTCCCCTTCCTGTTTCTGGTGATTTTTTTTCCCACACAATACAAACAAAATAGTCTCATTTAAAAGATACCATTTCTATGTATCACTGTTTTAAAGGATGGTTTTCTTAGTCCTGGTGAAAAGATGCCTCGTGATAACACCCAATGCAGTTCCTATCTAGAATTCAAAAACAGTTATTAAATGCCTTACTTTAATATACATATATCTCCATCATGAAGCTTCAGGTAATGGAAGTAAGCGTGAGGAGAGGAAAATCCAAGGTAATCCAAGTCTTTCTACTTGTGGATTAGAAATATGCAAGACTCACCTGCGGACCTCCCGCATCTTCCTGAACACCAGTGTTTGCTGTCCGAGTCCCACTCCCAGAGGATATGAGAATCAGGACGGTATTGACCAGCCTGGGTCTCGAGCACCAGCTGGGAAGACCCCTGGACTGTCCACACACTGGACCATCCTGCTTGTTCCTGCTGCCTCCATCCTGCTCAGTCATTTGCTACTGAAACTTGTAACACCTTCCTGATCTTTTCAACATCTTTGGGCTTGACCTATTTTGATAGGTGTCTGTTCTAGCCCTTCAAGACTGTATGTTCATCCTGATTTAACCTCTTGCTGGTTTAATCCATCATGTCTGACTATCCCTTTGCTCAACTGAGCAATGGACAGTCTTCTGATGGGAAAGAAGATTCAGCTCCAACCCACTTCTCCAACCTATTTTCCTGTGTGAACCCTTTACGTCAAACAACCTGACCCATGCACAGATCCTTGAACGAGCCATGCCATGCACATCCCCATTGTTTCCCAAAAGTCCCCATCCTGCAAGACGGACCCAGTTCAAGGCTCTGCTCTCAAGAAGCCTTCTCTAGCTTCTCAGTCTGATAATCGGCCTCCCCTCTGAACCAGGGTACTGGCTGCCTGCATTAGTGACTCCAACAGCAGGTCTCACAAAACAATAGTCTCAAAGAAGTCTCATCGATGTTTGGTACACACACAGGGTGCCTGGTATAGAATATGTAGTCAATAATAGTTATTGAGTGAATTAAGGACAGAGTCGTTTTCAACCAAGCAATTTTTCCTGCCCACCAGGGGGACATTTGGCAATATCCAGAGATAGTTTTGGTTGTCATGACTAGCATCTGGTGGGTCAGGATCAGGGTTGCTATGAAATAGCCTACAAGGTATAGGACGAAGATTATCCAATCCCAAATGTCAATCATGCAGAGGTTGAGAAACCCTACCCTACAGTCAGGCTAATCAGAGACAAATTTCTAACTGCCGATACTAACTGCTTGGCCTTGAGTAAGTTATCACATTTCTCTAAGTCTCAATTTCTCCATCTGTAAAATGGGGGATTAACTATAATTGAATGTGTGTGTGCGCGCGCGTGTGTGTGTGTGTGTGTGTGTGTGTGTGTCTGTGAAATAAATTAGATAGTGCATACAAAGCACTTAATAGTGGCCTAGCTGGTTTTGCTCAGCGGTTAGACTGCAGGGGTGGGCAAACTTTTTGACTCGAGGGCCACAATGGGTTCTTAAACTGGACTCAGAAGAAGGAGCTGCGGCCGTGTTTCCCGACGTTGCCAAGTTAACACTGCTGCTGGTGAAGGAGCGGAGGGGAGAGCAAGAGAACCCTCCGCTCTTTCAGCTCCGCGGGCCGGACAGAACAGCTGAACGGGCCGTAGTTTGCCCACGGCTGGTAGAGCATCAACCTGTGGACTGAAGGGTCCGGGGTTCAATTCCTGTCAAGGGCACATGCCTGGGTTGTGGGCTTGATCCCCAGTAGGGGGCGTGCAGGGGACAGCTGATCAACGATTCTCTCTCATCATTGATATTTCTCTCTCTCCCTCTCCCTTCCTCTCTGAAATCAATAAAAATATTTTTAAAGTGTTTAATAGTGATTGGTGCATAGAAAGTGTGACCTATAAACATAGCCTGTGAGCATTCTTACCGTTAACCTTCATTTCCTTCTCATAACGATGGCGAGGCTCTTCAGATGGAGTCTTTATGCTCTCAGAACAATCCCACAGCGAGTGTTTTTACCAAAATAAGGCCCGCACTCCCCTATATGTTCAGATTGTATATATGTGCTCACCAGGGGCTCAATTATGAAAATGTTATTCAAGAAGAGTATGCTGTCCGCCTGAACCAGCCTTCTCTGATTCGCAAAGGAGCGGGAGAGAATGGAAATCCGTTCTCGGAGTAAAGGATCACTAACAAACTCTTCGAGAAACTCGTCAGTCTCATCCTTTTCCTCTTTGATCAGATCCTCACAGACCCTGAAGGGAAACGGAAAATGTGAGACTCACTCTGGTACTCCCATGAAGATCACTGTAAAGGGCTCCCCCCTCCACCCCAGCCTCCTGGGAATGATCTCACCCATCACCCTGGGGCGGTCCCTCCTTGCCCTGAGTGTGTAACGTGCTATCTGAGTGATCTTCTACTTTAACTTCTCAGGAGCCTCAGTTTCCTCTTTAGTCACTTCCTTCAAGAAGTCCTCCTGGGCTTCCTGTCCACTTGCTTTCTCCTGAGCCATTATGCATATTTGGGCAAATATTTTATTTTAGGTAATAGTGTTTTTCCAAGTTGCTGTTTAAACACTTAACATCTACTCTCCCTCTCACACTTCAAGGACAATTTTGTTTCTGTTAAACTTGCTTAGCTTTAATTTTTTCTTAGATGGAGAACAAAATTGAGAGCCTGCGCGCACTGGGCTTGGAGGCTGATTCTACTATCTATTTACTAGCCCTCTATTCTGCCCTCGCCACAGATGTGGTCACATTACTCCTGGTAGCCATTACTTCACCTGAATTTTTAAAAAATATATCTTTATTTATTTCAGAGAGGAAGGGAGAGGGAGAGAGAGAGATAGAAACATCAATGATGAGAGAGAATCATTGATCGGCTGCCTACTGCACATCCCCCTCTGGGGGTCAAGCCCGCAACCTGGGCATGTGCCCTTGGCCAGAATTGAACCCAGGACTCTTCAGTCCCCAGGTCGATGCTCTAGCCACTGAGCCAAAACAGCTAGGGCTCACCTGAATTTTTGGAGACTGCATTTTATCTCCTCCCAGGGTATATGACCATTTTCTCAACATTTTACTGGTATCACCAACGATGAGAGACAAATTATTTAATGAGAGCCTAGGGTCACTGAATTCCTGACCAAGGCCCAACTATTCTCTAAATGACTTCATGCAAACTACATAGCCATGTCAAACAGCTCCTTTTGATAACTTTCGTGTCTAGGTTCCTTTGGCCACATAGCATAAAGATGCCAAAGAAATGGCTTCAGTGTGTTCTGGTTCCATTCTGTGCTTCCTTTTTATTGTGTTTTGGAAGCAGTGTCTCGGGTAATGAGCAGTCCTTATAAACTGCTGGGCAGAGCAGCGCAAATTAGAGAGAGCTCAGTCCACAGAAAGGAAACCGCCAATTCCTGTGAGGGGAAGCTGTAACGCCTATCTCTAGAAATCAATCTCAAAGGAATAATCACCGATGTAAGTAAAAACACAGCTACAAAGATGCTCATCAAAATGCTAGCAACAATACCAAAAAAAAATGTGGGTAAATTTTATGTAAGAGATTGAAGGATTGGTTAAACAAATAATGGGAATCATAAAAATTACATTTATTTAGGGGTTTAATGGGAGTGGTGTGTGGGGTTAAAATGCCTCGTATGGACTAAGGATGGATAATAATGCTCCATGAACTGAAGAGTATGATTAGCTCAACCCTTGAACCAGAAAAAAAAAAAAAAAGGAAACAGAACATAAATTGCCAAGCACTGCTCTTCTCCCCTGCTGCTGGGACTCTTAAATCAGTAACAGCTGCATAATGCAAAGCGGGTGGGTGGAGGGTGAGGCTGGTCCCACACGTCTCATCTTTGCCCTCTGATGCGGAAATGGAGCCACGGCTGAGGTACTAAAAGGCAACATGCAACCACACCTTGAGCTGCGTTAACTCCAACAAGGGCTTCTAGATACCCCTGGCTACTGTGAGGCCATTTTTTCCTGCTGGTCTCCATGGTCTCCTGTCTCAGAGGTGGTTCTGTGCGACAGCTGAGGACACCTCTTATCAGAGAGCTCAACAACACACCAGCCTTCTCTTTCAGTTAAACCATGGATTTAACCTATTTTCCAAACGGTCTGGTGGCCACCAACACCCATCACTTTCAGGCCTCAGGTTCAGCCGATGGAGTATAGTCAACGGGAAAGACTTGTGTCTCAGGTATATTAGCATTGAACCAGTAATGCTTCCTCGTCTTCAGGCGCTAGACACCCTGCTCCCCTGCAGCACCCTGAAGAGATGATAACTAGATGCCGAGGAGGTTGGAAACTAAAAGCCGTGGCCTTCACAGCTGGGAGAAATACTCCCACGTCCACACCTGGCGTGGAAAGGTTACAGCCATCCACCTTCCAATGGACCACGCGACCCCGGTCACGGAGCACTCTGTGATGACTGTTTTAAACTGAGGACTAGATGTCCTCTCCCTGTTTACCAAATACCGCTCAAGATTAAATTTATGACTACCTGGGTGGCAGGCCCAAAGCCCAATTAAAACTGATCTATCTAGAGAAACATGTATTTCCCTGTTTCTGAATGTTGTGGAATAAATCCATGTTGACTACTCGTGGGAGTCCTCTGAAGACTGCAGGAGTTCCTGCACAGAGTAGATCTAGAATTTGAGCCAGCTGCTCTTGAGACATTGGTCATGACCTTCATGGAGAAGTGGGGAACAGAAATCCTCAAAAGCCCATGCCAAGTCTGATGAGAATGAGTATGAAAGAATCTTATGGTAATGTTTTATAATTCCTCAGGACAAAGGGGAGGAAGTAAGGTGGGATGAATGCTGCCTCCATTTCTGAAGAGATTAATTTCTCTACAAGTCCCAGAAAAACATCAAAAAGACAAAGACCCAAAAGGCAATTGTTAAGCCCTCTGTGTCTCATTCTGAAGGTTTAAGTAAAAGTGGGGAGAAAAAACTTAAAGTCAAGAAGTTCTTCCTAGGGGGAGTGACATCTTCGTTGTTAGAATCTGGAGCCTAGAATTAGTCCATGGTCCCAAATCTGGACACGTGCCCTATGGTTGGTACCAATATGCTGAGGTATGTGGAGAGGAAGGAAGTCATCCTTCCTAGAATGAAAATGGTAACTTCCAGAAAGGAATAAGGCATCCTACTCTTGAGGAGGGCTGAAATTCCTCCACTGGGAGATCAGCAAGATGTAGTGGCCAAGAAACCACGATGGCTGGAATGGGGTCCTGAGGGTACTGGTTAAAGCAATTGGCAATCTCAATGTGACCGCTGAGCAACTTCCAGCTCCTATGAGATGAATGCCTTAGGACAAGGTTTAAGCCATGTTAGAGTTGGAAAGCAGAGGGCAGACTCCTGAGTCTCACTTAAAAACCTACACTGACGTTTTAAATCGTAGGTCCTTGGGATGCTGCAAAGGGAAACTTTGGTCGCTCACAGTATGCATGAGACCGTTTCGAATAGATCCTCTCTGTCCCAAGTTCAGGACCAGAGTCGACCTTCCTCTCTACATGTTTAACTACAGAGGCTGCTGAAGGAAGAACAGGGGCAGATTGCTCATCACCAGGAGCAGGAGAGTCAAACACGAGGAGGTTTATTCTGGGGATACCGACACCGGCCTCGTTGGGGAGGCCAAGAGGAGGTTTATACCATTAGCTAAAGATCTGACTGCTGCTTCTCAGGGATGAGCAAACCTTTGACCACAAGCAAGCTACCAGAGAACATTCTGCTTTATCTCACACTGCTGTGTGGCTTGAGATACAACTTGAGGACCTGTGACTTAGCGGAGAAGGGGGCCCATACTCACTGCAAGAGCACTGCCACCTCCAGAGGGGCAGCTATCCGGAGATGAGAACTAAATGTTCAGTGAACAACAAACCTCTCTGTAATTGCCTTTTTTTTTTTCCTGGAGGATAGGCATCTCATAGCTATTTATGTCCAGAATAAGAATCCATGGCTAATAATAGAAGTTGTGGCATGCTCGGGGATGTATTAAGGAACGAGAGAGGGGTGAGAGAGGAGAGACAACCTGCTCAAATAAGATATTAGGCATAAATGGTCCATTTCCCCTTTAAATCAATTTCCCTTCATGTCCCAGGCATCTGGCCCTAGGAGAGAGGGGAAGAGGGGAAGGGATGGCATATTCAATAAACTCTTCACTTAAATCAACCAACTCAGTTTGGAGAAACATGAGTTATGTGGCTATGTGTCATCCAAAGCGAAAATGGAAGTATTCTTATTTAGCCATCTGATGCCACTTTTCAAGTTCATTGTTTAAGGGAAGGGCATGATCCTAGATAATAAAATTAGGCTTCTAATCATGGTTATGAAAATGTTATCCCATATTATGCCCTCGCTACAGAAAAATTGCTAGACGCACTAATAGAAAGAGCAAGAGATATAGTGAAAGAAAGACAATATAAGAGAAAAGGAATAAGACTCAAGGATATTATTAAAGAGATAAGGGTGTGAGTGTCAGGGAAGGTGGAATGGGGAGGCAGGGTGGGGAGAGAAAAGAAATATCCATCCACACATGGTTGAAATTATATACTCTGTATCTTAGCATCTCTGACAGCAATTGGTTTAAATTCTTCATGAGTTTTCCTGTTGAAATTAACATCCTTAAATATTTTTTGGACATAGGCTTGGCATCAACTATATTCTATACATATAGTCAAACACATAGGCAAAGCTGAATTGAAAGCTGGCTTCCCCTCTGAAAGTGTATATTCATTCTCCCCAAGAGACTATGCCTACAGGACAAGCAGGTTATGTAAACACTACATTGACTACTATTCCTTTGCTTGTACCTGCTCTCGCATCTTATCTTTAAACCTGCTTGGACCATTCTGATTGATGGTACACACATCAGCTGGGGAATCAGGACCAATGAAGCAGCGGATGACCAGTTTCCTCTGGCCTTTCTCAACTTCTGGTGTTTCTATACCATGAGGCCAATGAAAGTTTTTAGGCAGGAAAAGCTTTTCTTTTCTCACTTTTTCAAGATGACATAGTGGCAATCCAGTGATTAAAGCTCCCTGCCTGAATAATGAAGCTGCTGGTTCCTCTGTGCCTGTCATTGTCACAGCTCCTTCTGATTCAATTAGGGGCAGCACAGTGGGGGATTTCTGCCTGGTTTCCATGGACCTAAGACTTTTATTTTTATCACATACTAACTTGGTTTTAAACAAAGCTTTGAAGCTTCCCAGGGCTAATCTTTAATGAAATTGGAGAGGCAAATAAAAAAGGCGGAATAAATCCAAATGAAAGCAGCAAAGGTGCTAATTTGGGGAGGATGAAAGGAGTTTAAAAGAGGCAAGGGTGGATTCAGGAAAAAGAAATATTCAAAATTTAATAGTGAAGAGATTAGTTAAAATAGTTAGGTTTTCTATTTTATTAACTTTCTCTACTGCCTAAAGTATCACTTTAAAAAGCAGAAATTAAAGATACCAACAAGAAATCATTATTAAATTATATGGTTAGCAGGGATTCAGCAATGCTACTAAAACTGGGACTATAAAAGCTGTTATATCTAAGCCCTTCTTCTTCCTCATTCTTCCTATTTTCTGGAAATACCTTTTCACTGGAAAAAAAAAATTCCACATTGATCCCAACCCAAAAGAGATTATTTTTAGAAACCCTATGATACTTAATCATTCTGATTAGGGCTATGAAATGAAATACAGATGTATAGATTAGTTTTGAGGAAACAGTGAAGAATTATATATTTGGTCTTCAAAACCCAGTAGTTTGGCTACTGATAAATTATAACCAGGTTAAGATTAACTGGTAATGGACAACATTGTGTTCTACATAGTTCAACTCAAGTTCTTTCAATGAAAAAATGAGCATTGTATACTGGAATCAAGTTATAAAAATTTGACATTGTTGAATTGGTTAAAAAGTTACCACAAAAGTCACTGATTTTTCATAATAACTGAGCTTTGTGTTTCCCCAAATTACAGGACTTAGGTGATTTTTCTTACAAACCTATACTTTTCTTTATCTTCCTCTTCCTCGGTAGCAAATACCTTCCACTGGAAATGGGCAATGATGTTACTGCGGTTGTAAATAGTTATAGTTCTCTGATTGGCCAGAGATATGTAGGTTTTCTCAATGATCAAAGAATTCTTGTCCAGCCTTATATTCATGTCTACGGCAGCTCCATACAGAGATACAAACATTTTTTCACCTAGAAATTAACAAAGTAAACACATTTTGAGATTTGTTCTAGAATGATTTTACTAGGCTAACCTCGCCCCCTCCCCACCACGGTGAAGTTAGGGAATATTGCACAAGCATTACACATTTCATTTTTCCCCCCTATCAATCCAGAGGTCAGATGTGATTAGTAAACTTCAAGTATATTTGGTGCAACTATAAAGAATCATATCTTTATATGATGAATTGCTGTGGTAGTTGCTACAAGACTTTTTCTTCTTTGTGACAGTTTTAAATCCTACAGCCCAACCATGAGGTCAACTGAGTTCTAGGCTTATAATCAATGCCTCATCTCCATCTCAAACATGAGCTGGATTTCTGATTCTTAAAGTAATTGCACCAAGTATATCTGGGAAGAGCTGCTCAGCATGAGCGGATCTAAGTCCAAATCAAAGGGGATCAGGAAGGAGATTCAATAACTTCATTAATAGAAAACAGACTAAGAGAAGCCACACCCTTAAACAACAGCAATTAAACTAAAACAAAAACGAAACACACATGCACACATTACAAAAATAGAAAGACAGATACAGAGGCAGAGCTGCCTCAAACAGATTGTCAAACTGCAGCGGGAAGGCCGGGGAGGGTTGGGGGGCAGGAGGGAGGGGGGTAAGAGAGCAACCGAAGGACTTGTATGCATGCATATAAGCATAACCAATGGACATAAGACACTGGGGGGTAGGGGAGGCCAGGGGATTGTCAAGGGCGGGGGGAAAAAAGGACACATGTAATACCCTTTGTAATACCCTTTGGAATACTTTGGAATACTTTAAGCAATAAAAAAAAAATAGAAAGACAAAAGCTATGTTTATAATTTAAAATTCCTTTAATGTTAAGAACACCTTCATTCAACATAGTAATTTATCCCAGACTTCATTTAAGAAGCACCAATTGCCTTAATTCCAGGTGTATACATGAGGGCCCCACTTCCCAGAAGACACAAACCTACACAAACCTAACTAAGAATTCTAAGTTAATTTTTTTCTTCCAGCTCTTGAGTAATGCCATTTTACTGTCGTCTGACTTCCATAATTTCAGGTGTAAAGTTTGGCATCAATAAGTATTATTAGTGTGCCTTTTAAGATGGGTGTATTTTTTCTCTAACTATTTTTATATTCTCTTTGCTTCAGTGTTCAGCAGTATTTGTACCATCAAGAGTTTTCTGAGCTTTGTGAACCTTGGATTAATGTCATTCATCATTTTTGGAAAATTCACAGCCACTATCTCTTAAAATATTTTTCATTTCATCTTTTTCTCAATTTCTTCCTCTTTGATCACATATATGGGTGACCTTTTGCCTGTGTCTCATATCTACGTAGCCTTTGCTTTCTGTTCTTTTTCCCCTTATTCTTCTTTGCTTCTCTCTGTAATTCAGTATGGGTAGTTTATATTGACCTGTATTCAGGCTCACTAATGCTGTCTTCTGTTGTATCAATTCTATTATTAAACTAACACAATTAATTCTTCATTTCCAACATCAAATTTTCAGCATAACATCGTTCTTATAACTTGACAAAGATAAAACATTGGGGCCAATATATAAACTGGTTACACTTCTGAATATCAATGTAAAATCCTAAATTAAAAAAATTATTAATCATAATTCATCAGCACATTATAAGAATGATACTGTGCAACCAAATGGAATTTGTTTCAGGAATGCAAAGATGGCTCACTATTAAAATGTCTATTAACATGCAATAGATCTAAGGAGAAAAATTATATAATCTCCACTGATGCTGAAGAATCTAATAAAATTCAAAACATTTTTATTCTAATAACTCAATAAAATAAGAACTGATAGAATTAAAATATAGTATAAAGCCTCAGTAACTAATATAGTATAAAGCCTCAGTATGAAGAGACAGACCAATGGTGGAATGGAATAAAAAGTCAAAACAGAGCCAGATGTATATTGGAATGTATTATATTATAAAGACAGCATCTCCAATCATTGGCTTAATGATGAATTTTATTTTTAAAAAAGTGCTATTGGGATAACTTAGCAACCATATGAAAACAACATCAGAATAAAAGCCAAATTAATAAAATATTTCAATGTTTAGTATGAAACCATAAAAGTATAGGAAACTTTTGATAACTGTAGAGGGAAAGTTTTCTAACTTTGACTCAAAATCAACATTCCTCTAAAAAAAGATTAGAAAAGTGACTACATACAAATGACAAAAGAAATTTTGTATGACACAAATGTTCATACACAAAAGTAAAAGAAGAACTGGGTAAAATATTTGCAACTGTGTCTGAGACAAAGGTATTAAATCTCTAAATATATAAATAGCTCTTGGAAATCAACAAGAAAATCCAATAGAAGAATGGAATTGTGAAAAATGAAATACAAAGGTCCCCTATATGTATTAACAGATGCGCAACTTCGCTCACAATAAGAGAAATACAGAAGAGATGTATTTCTATACCATTTCCCCCATTAGACTGGCAAAACAAAACAAAAATTTGAGAACATAATTTGTTGTCAAGGCTAAGGGGAGACTGCACTCTCACACACTGTTGGAGGAATGCATGATGGTACCATTCTTCATGGAGTCCATTTGGTGACACAGATCTAAATATCTAACAAAATTATAAAACTATGAATCCTCTGGCCCACTTTTAGGAATTTATCCTATGGACGAGTCAGAACAAGATCAATGGTATTCAATACAGCATTGTTCTTAATAACAATAGAGTGGAAATAGCCCAAGTATAGCCATCAGTAGAAGGCCAGTGAAATAATCTGTGCTACACCTGAAAGTGGAATGCTGTGCAGGTATGGAAAAGTGCACAGTGCTATGGAAAGATCTCCAGGACATATTAAGTAGAAAAAACAAGGTTCAGAACAATTGATACAGTATGTTGTTTTGTATAAGTGGGGAATATAAGTGTGCATTCATGCTTGCATCTATTTGTAAAAAACACTGGGAAGATATGCAAGAAACCAATAAAATAAGAGCGAGGTGGGATGAATGAGATAGGGTGGGAAATAACACCTTTCAACATATACTTTTAAATATATTGCTTTAATTTCTGAATATGTGAATACATTACTTACCCAATATTTTAATGTAAAAATGGATTATAGAGCCTCAGGAAAATTGTGAAGCTTCTAGATAGCACTAGTAATGAGAGAAGTATAAAATACCATTTCAAAACCATCCGAAAGAAATGCGCATAGCAAAATGTTGAGATATGTTAAACATAATGGTTGTTGATTATATCATGTCTGTACTTTTGTGGTCATTTGAAATAAAGGGGAGGGGGAAAGTAGGCTTACAGTTATTCATATGGAAACATATCTAATACAAGAATAAATAATAATACAAGAATAAATTCTATGTTTCACGTACTCAAAACTGTAAACCTACTTTTGCCCCCCCTGTATCTCATTGGTTAAAAGGCCTGGGGAGGGGGCCGGAGTGGGGTAGAAGGAGTCAATGGGGGAGAAAAGGAGAACATCTGTAATACTTTCAACAATAAAGATAAATATTTTAAAAAATCCAAGAAAATATTCAAGGGTTTACTTATTTCACACAGATCTAGGGGATCAGAGAGACCAATGTCATCCATTGGAGTTGCTCACTGCAAAACTGTTCCTCCCCAGAAATACAGCAAGAGCAACTATATCCTTTTCAAGAATGAACTGATAATCATTTTTTTTCACCACTATCTTCCAAAAATCATCAGATCCACAAGGTATTGGAATACTTCGTTTTTATACCCACTTTCCTGAAGACAACCTTAGAAGGGGCCCCCATCCCCCAGCTACGGAGAAGAATGACAGGATGGAGGTGTGAGGCCTACAAGACTGGATAAGGGGGCTGTGCCTCAGTGCTTCTGTGTCCTTGAGTGCCTGTTCCCACAGTGTTTCTTTTGGGGTTTCTGGGGTTGAATAGTGCAGTTATTGTAGATGAGATTAGCCACCATCATTTACTCTGTCCTTGTAAAGGTATATTTTGTGGAAGGTCTCATTACCTCTTGCCAGTTCTGCCGCTATCAATCTAGTAGAAACAAATATGAACAAAACTAATTTTACCAAAAAAGGTGAAGCCAGCGACACACACAATACATTTCATACTGCGGTCTCAGTGCTTTCAGACAGCCGAGGATAGTTTTAAAAATATATGAGTGGAGCCCCAGATTCTCGAGGGCAGCTATTTTCAACCTCTTTCATCTCACGGTACACATAAACTAATTACCAAAATTCTGTGGCATTACAAAAAATATATATATTTTTTTGCCGATCTGACAAAAAAATAGATAGAATTTTGATTCATTCACACCAAATGGTTATTGCTGTGTTGGCTGCTGTCATTTTTTAAATGTGACAATCTAAGGGAAAAGAGGTCAGTGCCTATGATTGAGTAGTCAGGTAGTGCATGTTTTCTTGTGGCACATCAGTGTTGAAAATCACTGCTCTAGAAAACTAACAAGTTGGTGGATGGAGTATTTCTCATTTCTTGGTCACAGCAGGGTCAAATTCACCAAATCAAGGGAATTGCTGAATCAAACTTCTTGGGAAGTGCTTTGAAAGGTTTAAGAAACAAATTAGGGAACTGGACTGAGCTCACCCAGCACACCGGTGGCAATGCCAAAATCAGCATTTGCAATCTGCATGGAAGGCAGTGTGGGGTTATAGAAAGGGCGCTGGTCTGAGATGGTGTCAAAGGCCTGGGTTCAAGTTCCAGCTTTACTTAGATACTACATGACCATTGAATGTCTCTGGGCCTCAGTTTACTGATCTCTACAATGAAGGGAGTTAAAGAGATGTTCTCTAATGTCCCTTTAAATACTAGCACCGAATGACTTGAGAGTCTTTACGTCCTGTGTAATTTACAGAACGTTCATTCCACTTCCCTAAACAATTCCTGTCTGTGTGTCCTAACTTCTGCTATTCCCTATCCTAAGCTATGGAATAAGAACCAAAGAAAAATCAAACTAGATCAAGTGATATTTTCA